CCCTATTTACAGATGGCAGAACCCAGGCTCAGACAGGGAGAGCCACTTGTACCAGGCACACAGCGGGGTGGGGGTGGGGATGGCCTAACTCAGAGCCGGAGCCCTTGGCCAGCTCACTGCCCAGCACCCCCAAGAGGGTTCTAGCTCCCCCGGGAAGCTCTGATAGAAAGTTGAGACCTGAGCTCCCCAGTATCCCTGCTCGCTGGAAGGAAGAAAGAAGATGCCTTCCCTGCAGGACCACTCTGGGGCCAGGAATCCCTCTCTCACTCCACCATTCACGTCACATCACTATGAGGGTGGCCTTCCTGGCATGAGGCACCCGGCCGCAGACCCAGGGGACCCGCAGGGGGCTCACAGCAGCGGCCTCCTGGGAACACTGAGCTTAGGCCTGGAACAGGCGGGGCCCACAGCAGCCCCTGCCCTGACACTGTTGCCAGCTCAGGGGTTCCCCAAGGACGCAGGCCTGGGGCTGCCCTAAACGAGGGCACCACCCACCCTGCACCACCCACCCTGCAGGGGCCAGCCGGCGGCCGCGGCTGCAGCCTCGAGCAAGGCCTTGCCCAGCCCCTGTGGTCATCGGGGGAGGGTGAGTGGGCCAAGCCTCCGCCGCTGTGCTCTGGGCACAGATGGTTCCATCCCTGCTGCCTCTTCCGCAGGAAAAACAAACCAGCTTGGGGCCAACAGTCCTTTTTTACCTCGTGTTTATTTTCACGGCCTTTGCCTTTGCCTGAAGCCAGCGTCCTGGGGTCTGCGCTCTGCCGAGGGTCTGGCCGGCGTGGCCATGGCATTTTCCTGACCTTAGGGCAGCTCTCCGGATAGGCGCCAGGGTGCTCCCGGGGAAAGTAGCCCATTTCCTGCCCCCAGACTTGTCCCTGTCCCATTCGGTCACAGCAACTTTTCCAGGATTTGGAGTCTTCTGGCTGCATGGTGGTGGGGAGGAGGGGGGCTGAGGTTGAGAAGGGGAGCAGGACAGAACCAGTGAGACCCTAGGGCAGTCGGAGCCGAGGGGGTGGAGATGAGGCCACATCACCGGTCAGGGCCACCACGGCTCCCGGGAATTCGCAGGGGAGGAGGTGGCCTGGCACTGGGCTACTCGACTCAGGTGGGTGGGCACGGGCCCGGCTGCTCTATCTGCATCCTTCCAAGTTTTCAGCCATCTCCATTTCACAGACAGCTGAGAAGACCAAGGTTGGTAGGGGGGACCCTGCAACCCAAGGTCTCAGAAGTGAGAAACGGGGAGGGGGAGGGGGGCGTGCTCTCAGGATCCGTGGCTTCTGGGGCCAGGCCACACACATGCCTAGGTAAATGCTTCTCCATCCTCCCACACGGACGAATTCACATGGGGGACAGACTCGCTATAGCAGCTAGAGGGGCATCCCCGGGGCCTGCACCCCGCTGCCAGTTTGGAGAGGGGCTGAACTGCAGGAGAGGCAGAGGACCACCAAGCGGGGAGGGGGGTCACTTGCCAAACAAAGGCGGGAGGCCAGGCCTCCAACGGGGGTTAGAAACGGGGGTGACAGGGCCAGCAGGGCTGCACCACCACGCAAACGGCCTCGCAAGCCCCAGAAGCCCCCAGAAGCGATGCCGCGCCAGGCCCCTCTCCTGCACTCGCCCTGGGGGGCTGGGGGCGCACCCTCCTGAGCCCTTTGCCGGCCGAACGCTCAAAGGCTCCGCCCCTTCCCCCGCCGCGGGCCGCTCCTCCGACCCCGGCTTTCTCCCCTCCCCCCACCGCGCGGACGGGGGGAGGGACCGGCGGCTCGGCCCGCGCCCCCTCCCCCTCGGGCGGCGGTGACATCACGGCCACGGCGGGAGGGGCGGCGCCGCGCACATC